TTTCAGCTTTTCATTCGTAACAACGGTATTCAAAACGTGTCGCAGTATTTTTCTCAAAACAGCATCGATGGGCAGCGGGTTGTCGACTGGATCGCAGACTAATAGTTGACGTTCTCCATAGCTTGCTTCGTAAATTCCTAGCATCCAGTGCTCGCCTCTATCCATTTGAGCTCTCTTGTGAATGGGAATGAGTAGCACGTCGAATCCTTGTTGAACGCCGTATAGATAGTTGGAAGCCTTGTTCTGGTCGCTGATATCGTTGAGAAGAGCCATTCCTTCATAAGCGCCATCCGCTGTTGTAACGTAGAAGCGTGCGACAAATTCAGGGTGAAGTACGGCAACTTTGACGGTCGGGTAAGCTTGTTCGGCGTAATGGAGAAGCATTCTGACAATGACGGTATCTTCTAGTTGTCCATTTGCGGGTAGAATTGAGTTGATCGCTTGTTGTTCCAAAATTCCGGCTCCTTGAAGAATTTCATGTAGAGGTGCGTTCTGCATGTTGAAAATGTAGCTTGAAATCTGATGAATGTTGAAATGTCGGACTTTGTTGACGGTGATTTTAACACAAAAGTTAAACTTTTCTCCACTTTGATAAATGTAAACTAATGCGAACCTTACAATTAAATTATTAATTCCTTCGTATATTATTGGTTTAAGTTGTCACCGTCGCTTTTCCTTATTGTAAAGTTCGCATTAGCATACATTTATAAGAGTGGAGAAAAGTATCTATAGCCATTATGGCGAACTAATAAAGTTTGAAAATATCCTATCTGTAACTCCGAACTGCTCGACCGTAGCGCTTCAAAACCGGCGCCAATCGATTCCTCGTGGCCAAAAACCCCAGACCCCCAAGTTTACCGGAGTTTATTAATTCTGGGGCGATTTTCGAACCATTCCTCGTATTATAGTATAAGATAAACATTTAGCAGAATAAAATGCTAAGGAATATTAAGCAGTCATCAATATATTACAATAAAGGTTATAAAATCTTAAGTAATGGATTTTCTATTACGTTGATAAGCATTTCAAATCAATATTTTAATTATTTATACTTTTTTCAAATAGTTAGAAAATAAGCAAAAAGCTATTCATATACATATGTAGCATGTTTTAATTTAATTTTATTACCTTACTCAAAAAAGGTTGAAATTTCATTCTATATTTTTGTCAAAGGTATAATGTCAAAGGTATGCATCTTTTTTTTTTTTCAAAAGAGTAACTGAAACTTATATTTGAACTCCAAAAGGATCAAAGAAATGAAAGCAAATGCGTGTTCACGTCGCTCAACAACGCTATGCGTAGGTTAACGGACAGACAAAACTGAATTGTTACCTGGCAATCATGTTGACAATTTAGGCCTAAATAGAATTTGAGACTAAGAAATAAGGTGTGAAAAATTGCCTATTTCAAAGTATAGTAAAAACGTTACAGGTCATTAAATAAATAACAAATTATAATAACAATTTTATAATTTTATGCCGGATTAGTATATAAACGAACACCTGCTGGATATAAAACATTGTGCTAATGTTTCTGACTTGTGCAAAAACATAACTTAGGAAAAAAAAATTAAAATTGAGTTTATTATAAGTTCAGAATCCCTATAGTTGGTGCTATCTAAAGATATTTTACTTTAGCCTGTACTCTAATTATTTACAAAGTTATAGCAGTTTTTGTGCAATGTAATAACAGTGGATAGACTAGTGATTTTAAATCTTTAAATGCGTTTATCTTAAAATCAGGGTTTTTTTCCCCATTTTACACCACCTAAGCACGATATCTTATATTGTTTTAAAAATAATTGTCTGCAATTTTTCATGAGTTTTTATGATTATAGCACACATGGTTTGAACTTCAGACTAAGAGAAAAAAAGTAGAATTTAATTTTTTAGGAATGTTTTTTTCGCTAAGACACGAGCGAATATGCTTTAAAAATTTGTTTTTTTTAACTACATTGATCCCTAACTCATAGTATATGAAATTGCTGTTAAGTTAATAGTTTTAAAAAAAGTTTATAGCTTTCTAAATAAAATCCCCAAAGGATTTTTTTGTTTTGCGCGACAGAGTTTTTTTACAGCGTCCATGTTATTACCTAAAAATGTTATTTTTACCTGCTATTATGCCTGTTATTTTTACCCAAAAATGACCATCTAAAAAAATAATTAATTAATTATAATTTTTTGCTAGTTTTATAATTTTTTACTCGTAATAAAGCATATAAACTAGTTTTTAAAATTTTTTTAATTAATGTTCTTAAGAAAAGTTGTCGAAACTAGTCGGATACCTTAATTCAATTTTGTAATTCATTCTGAATTATTCAATAAACGATAGCTTATATTTAGCTTCCAAGTCTACTCAACTTAGTATTGTAAAAGTTAAGAACCTTTTTTCAACAATAAATATTTTTATGAACCATATTATATTTTGAAAAAAAAATCATTATGGATATAATTTTTTTTTTTTTTTTTTTTTTTTTTTTTTTTTTTTTTTTTTTTTTTNTTTTTTTTTTTTTTTTTTTTTTACAATAAATTTCTTTGACATTTTTGCAAATGTTCTCTAATTTTCTTTTCAAATATAATTTTTAATTCTGAATAAATTATGCGACGAAATATTTTGTTTAACTGTTCAGTACGTTATTTAAAAAATAAATAGCTATTTCAATACACAAGAAAACTAAATAAGATATATTCTCTGTTCACCTGAACTATTACATTTTAAGCTAAATATAAGAAGATCTTAAAGGACATTGTTAAGTGGCTGCATTACACTAGCGCCAAATCTTTTTTTCAATTTTAATTGGTTTAATTCAGTTCAAAACTAAATTAAACCAGTTAAAATTGAAAAACGATTCGGCGCTAGTGTGTTGCAGCCACATCACAGACATTTTATATAATTCAGGAGCATCACGTTAAAAAAAATATCACAGCAAAAAGTTCTGTGTAAAACTCGGTTTCACGTAAAAAACAGTCTTGTTTAATCACTTGGGGGATAACTGAGTATTTATGGAGATATTTATGGACATTTTTATAAAAAAACTGAATTTTCTGTCTTACGTTCTTATGCTATAACATCCATTACGTTCTTATGCTAAAAAATCCATAATATTAAACAATATTTTCGCAGCAATTTTGAAATTAATAACACAATTATAGTTTCAAAATTGAAGAAACATTAATTTGAAATTGTAAATGATATGCGTAAATAATGTAGCCCTTTTATACCACGCATGAGTGGGAAAAATGTGAATTAATTAATTGTATTAAGCAATTAATAAAAAAGACCGATTTGAATATCTAAAAAAAAATTAACAGTTTTAAGTAATTTTCAAGTTAATTAGTTTAAGCAATTTTAGTTTTTTTATACTCTTTAAAAAAAAAGTTCAAAATTGATAAAGGGTTTTCTACAAACTTCATTTTGTATTATTAAAGTAGATTTAATAAAAATGACACCGGCATTGTTGGTAATCATCCCCCATAAAAATATATTTTCTTTCGCATGTTTTCGTTACTTATACAATCATATTTCTGTGCATGGACGTTTGTTGTAAAGTATTATCATTTGCTATTTAATTTCGCCTCATGATACAAAATAATATTTGCAGAAAAATCCATTATTATTTTGAGATTCTTTTGAAAAATAAAACTTCTTAAAAATTTACTTAAAACTTTTTAAGTTTTAAAGATATTCAGATCGAACTTTTTTTCTTTATATGCAGAATACGATTCACAGCAAAATTATGAAAAAAAAATTTAATTGTCAACAGTACAAGAGAACTACTTTACTTATATAATGCTCAGTTTTCAACGTTTTTTTTTAAATTTTAGGAAAATATTCTGTAATTAATTTTAAATTGCTTTACAACTTTTATTTATGTTATTGAACATTTTTAAAATTATAGCATAAAAAAACGTAACACAAAAAGTTTCGTTTTTTTAATGAAATCTCCATATCTCCATAAATATTCAAGCTAGGCTTACGGAATTTAGCGCAATTACTGCATATAATAACCAAAATGATTATTACAAGTTAAAAATATGTTGCTAAATTTTTAGGCTAAGGGTGTTCAAAGGCAATATTATCTGTTTGAAATTTATTGTCGGTCTCTCAAACCTGTAAAATCTTTAAATTTCGCAGATAAGTATGAAAGGCACACACTTCTGAAGTTATAAAATGATTCTTTAAGTAATTCTTGAAAAAAATGATAAAATGTATTACAGAAGTGTATTATAGATCATTGTTTTGCCATACATTAAAGCTCGATTGTTGTGAGACATGGGAACCTTAGTTCTAAGAAAGACTATGTGAGGATTGAGTTATCAACAATGTCAGCCTTCATCTATGAAACCCAACATTGCATCGAGTTAACATGTATTATATACTAGGAAATTGAAATTATATTTTTGTAGTGGTAGATACACTGCAGTACTCCCCCAACAGAATTATATCTGTGATAGAATTCGACGAATTGATGCCACTAGTTGATTCTTTGCATTTTTGTGAGAAGCTAGGATAGCAGAGTATTATGATCACAGTACTTTTGCTGATAGTGAGAGCTGTATTAAGTTCACGGGCCATGGCTGCTCCATTGACAGCCGAGTGTAAGGAGGCCAACGTTGTGTGTGATTGAGACTGAGTAGAAACAGTGCGAGGAGGTAGCTAATGTCGCAGTCACAAATAGCAAGTCAACTGTTCAATGTGCACCATCCATCGAAGTAGGTGTTTTCAAATTGAAGTGGAAGTTTCTGTCAAGATAGGCGCATTCACATCACGTCCGGGTCACCAATGTAGGGAGTGAGTTATAAACAATGTCAACCTTCATCTATGAAAAGGTACCCCACCACAGAATCAAGTTAACATGTCTTATATACTTGTGATTCGAAATTATATTTTTATAGTGGTAGATGCACTACAGACTACCTACTTATGACGACAGCGACAGAAATATCAACAACTGACATAAGAAACAATGTTAAAATTCAAAAGTGTAAAACATTAAAAAAATGTGGTAAGGGTTTTAAACAAGCTGATATCTAGAAACATTTAGTCATCAACAATCTTAACTAACAGAAAATATCTTGCAACACCCATGTGCTTAATAATTTTAATTTCAAAGAAAAAACTTTTAACGAAACAATGCAGATAAACACAACGAAGCAATGGAATGTGAAACTACAAAAATATTCAATATTTTTGAGCAAAATCATATTATTAAATCCTAACACTTCGTCCCAGATACTGCAGTTTATCTATTAAGCACTTAAATTAAATATTCCACCTCAAGCGCTGTAAACAGACAGGATCTTACTGTTCAGAGTTCAGAGATTATGCTTTATCTCAACTATTCCGGTTTTCCACGTTTTCCGCTTTTATGAGAAGATCCGGAAGTTATGCAGATCTCTTTGCATCAACTTCCGGCCAGGAGCAGAACAACTCATATATAAATAACACTCTTAGGAAATTTATTTTCTAATCTCCCTGGCTCCCCGCATAGTTTTTACTTATTTCCCGAATCTAAAACTTTTCTTCTTAGGGAGCAGGTGTTTAAAAAGAAAAACATAAGTTAATTTTAATTTCAAATAGTATGTCCTTAAACTAAATTCGAGGTACGTATAGAATTTATTGGAAAAGTTTTCTAAGCGTTACATTAAAATATTCATAAGGTGTTTAATTCGCTTTCCCTGCATTCTCTTTGTTAAAACGAACTCCACTTTTTAGCTATTAATTGTATATCTTACATTATAATAAATTAAAGCTTTCAACACGATCTTATCTTAATCTCCCTAACTATTTAATCATCCTTTACAATCCAAGTTTCTGTTTCAGACTAAAAATTTGGTTCCATACATAAAATTATAACTCATTCCACAAAGATATAAAAAAATTACGACTATTTGTCAATTTTCTAGGTAAAATGCAACTAGACCGGAAAAAGTTTAAGTTTTTCTTTAATAAACATATTTTGTAAAAGGAAAGAATTTTATTTTCTTCTTCTGATTGCTATAAAAGTCTTTATTTTATTTTGAAATGTAATGGAAGACGCATTATCTATAATCTGTATAACTGATATTAACGATATTCTACATAAATGCAACGATGTTGCATAAGAAAAACTATTTATATATGCATGATTTCTTTCATATTTTCCATACTACTTTATAGAACAATCTATAACCATAGCAAGCAATAATTGTTAACTGTGTTGCCAAACTTACGCCAGACCTTCTTATTAAAGATCTCAATTGAATCTATTATTGTATGTTTGTAAAGTTCAAGATAAAAGTAAATAATTTTTTAAATGATAGAAACGACTCAAAATATCAAGCTTTTTGGTTAATCCATAGATCCAGAAACACGGTCAGTTTCAAAATATTTTGTAATACGTTTTTTTCTTAGTATGCAATTTATTTTCAACTCAAATTGAGCTCATTTTAAACACCGATAGAAAGACAGCCTTTAGTCGCAACAAGCATTGAACATTTAAAAAAATATAATTTAAATCGTACTTTAACTTTTTTTTCGTTTTATTTCCATATTCCTAAAAACTAATTTTAAAAAAAAAATTTAAGTTATGTATCAAAATTTTTTAATTTTTCTGAAATTAAAGTTTTGTTATAAAAACTCTGACCATTTATTGATTAGTTTTCCTTACTTTTAACTATCATGCTGTTCTCGTGTTAAGAGCAAATCAGTATGTACTTTTTATATATTATAACACTCAAAAAATATTTGTAAAGATTTAAATTTCGATCCTTTAAAGTAGGGTGATTAAAAATATGAACGTTGCTTTTGAATTAGATATTTTTTACATTAAAAAGTATTGTTTAAAGCAGTAAATTAGAACCAGTACTTCAAAATCACTCGTGATCCATTAATTAAAAGATAATGCTTCGGCACAATTCTTAAAATTCTAGAAAACATATGTTTCATTGAAATTAATAAGAAAACTCAAAGGCAGGATAAACAAAATTTGTTTTGTTTTCCTGACAAATATCAGTCTTCAATAATACTTTCAGTTCTAAAATTTGTCCTTCATACTTTAAATACTTTTTGGACATACGGATTATTTGTTACAATCTTATAAAAAAGTCTTTAATATAAAAGTAACCAGCCGTCCTCAAATCTTGAGTACAGTCCTCAAATTTCACTAATTGACATCAAAAACTCTCAAGTTCTTTGAGAACAGAAAATGTCCTCGAATTTCTTTGAAAATGGAATATTTTTATATGCTCTGAAATATCAAAATGGTGCACGCTTTTTTAAACAAAATAATTTCGTTTTACAGAGACCACAAACATAAAGCAAAAAAGTATCATGCTAAAACTAACTGAGATAAACGCAATAAATAAATTTTAAATGATTTCATCAAATAAAGATATAAAAAAAATAAAAGCGATTTTAAAGGTTTTTTTACGTGTGTTCAAATTCACAATATTATATTATATTTCAAAACTACTTAGAAAAGAAACCAAGTTTGATAAAAATGGTACTGCTCTTGATATTAGTTATCAGCTAAGCAAATATCTTTGCTGCATATAAAAAATAATATTTTCCATAAACAAAAGTTGTCCTCAAATCGTAAAATTCTTTGCAGGATGCTCCGCTTATTTGTTTCAAATCAAGGTTAATAATTCTAGGCAACTTATGTAAAGAAGAAAGAATAACAACACGTCAGGTACTAACATGCTATAAAAATGCAAAAAAAAGGATTCACATTTTATATGATACCATCAGATTAAAAATGCCATTGAATTTTGTCCAAATTCTATTTTGCATATATCTTTTGCAAGTTGTTTTTCTGCAACATTTCATGTATCACTTATTGTCGTATTTTTATTTTCAGGTTCATTGCTGTGACACAACCAATTAAATATTCAAAGCATCGAAATAATAAAAGAGTTTTTGTAACAATAGCTTTTGTTTGGCTGGTGTCAGCTGCAATTGGTTCTCCTATCATGTTGGGATTGAACACTTCGCCAGAAAGGGTGTCTACACTCTGTGTCTTCTATAATTCAGATTTCATCATATATTCATCTCTCAGTTCATTTTACATACCCTGCATTGTCATGGTCTTCCTTTATTATAGGATATTCAAAGTAATTCATACCTTTCAATCAAAAATAATTAATACCTTGCATCTAATTATAGATTTTTCGTGAAAGACCCTCAAACCGTTTAATATGTTACTAAATTTATCTAAATAAAACATTTGACTCGATTGTGTTAGCCATAAATTTATGTCATTTAGAAATTTCAAGAACTATCTACATTAGAGAAAAATTCCTGGTCAAATTACGATAAAAGGTACCGCCACTCAGGGTGCCGGTATTTTTTACCGTAAAACTTTTACCGCAACATGATACGGAAAGACATTCTGATATACAGTAATTTTCACTAATTAAAGTAAAATCCCTCTAATTAAATAATTATTACTGCAGGAACTACGGTGTAATATCTTACGGCGAAAATAGATTTTGTGGTAAAATGGATTTTACGAATAATGCATCCAAAGTGCTGGTACTTCATACGGTAATTTTACTCAGATATTCCTACAAGATATTTGAAATACTCAAAGAATCAAATCACCTTTTAGGAAGCAAATTCAGTTGTTTCTTTTCCAAAGTTATATTAGTTTTCTGCTATTGTTGTCGTAAGGCATTGAGGCAAGGGATGTGATTGTTCTGGTCTTCTACTGGCATCATCTATAGCCAAGAATTCGACTTCTGCCACACCCGCTTATAGGGCAGACACATTTATACATCCATTCATTGATCGACAGATTGTAATTTTGACCTTAACCAAAGAATGATCAATCTCCAATTCAGTACCCTAAGAGGTATAGTTTGTTACGGGAGCATGGAGGATATTGTGACCTGGAAGACTTAACACGTGCACCATCCACCATTTACTACACGGGGATCCTAGCATTTTATATATATATATANATATATATATATATATATATATACTGCCCGGTATATATTTGCCCGATACTTGGTGTATACCGGGCAGTGGCACTTAATCTTAAAAAAGCATCAGTGTAGGGTATACCGAGCGATGTATATCGGGCAAATGGAAATGTATGGCCCGATACCCCAAACACTGATGTTTCTTCTGATCTATCGTCAGTAAGTATTAAAATATGGAATAAATGTAATTATATCCACGAATAAATTCATATCAAATCGAATGTAATAAATATTTCGGACATTCACCAAAGCGACTATGTGATTGTTGACATTCACCGGTGAAAGTCAGAAATAAGGGTATTTAGCAAAAATTTTCGGACATACACCAAGCGAATACGTGAATGTTGACATTCACCGGTGAATGTCGACATTTTCGAGACTTCGGTCATTCACCGTAACATATATATATAAATATAATAACAGATACAAAATTGCCGTCTAAATCTATGTCTGATCAAATTTCTCATTTTCTTCCATATGGATCTTCATGTATTTGATAAGCTATCCCTTGTACGGTAGATATTTTGTCACTTTAATTTTCTCTGATATCATTTGATTCGTATTATACTTTGACCTACATAGCGAGAATGTAATCTGTAATCACAATCACAGTGGAAACAGTTGCGATACTTTAAGTCCGGTGAACGTTGAAGCCATTTAAGAAGGAAGAATGTCAGCTTTGCACCCTTAAGTAACAAAATGCAAGTTTTCTCTCTTTTTTTTTTCCTTTTTTTTTTTAAATCTAGAAATTATCTTTTACAGAGATCGCTGCATGAAATGCCAGTTAGACCTGCAAAAGTCTTCAAAGGTTCATTCATTCAGCGCAAGGCTTATTTCTACTACAGTCAGTTGTCACAGATATATTTTATCATTACACGGAGTAAGAAAAGTCTGGTAAAATTACCGCACTATGTGGAAATGACATTTCTCGTAAAAAAACATAATTCTTGATTATGAAACTAAAGTATTCACTATTTAAACCATTCATTTTGTTAATTTTACTGTTCATATGGCAACCATTAGCCGAAAATTTTGGTATTCAAAATTATGATTCTTATTTACACACATATTGTAAAAAAATGCAAAGCATAGAAAAAAATATTATCGAATAAATGGCTTTTATGCCATGCCGTAAAGTATTATGATAAAATTGCTAAATTTTACCACATTTACCAACTTTCATCATACATTAAAAAACCATGTTTTATTAATAATTTTGCCAAAATCATTATTGAAGTGATTTGTTAAAAACTACCGAGCTACTTGAGATTTTCTCAGAGCTTTAGACACGATAAATTTTAACATATTCAGGTAGTTTTGACCATGCTTTTCTTCTTAGTGTAATTACTAATTCCTTATAAAATCAACCAGTAATTGAATAAAAAATGAGCCTGTGAGCAGTTTGGAATGTTCTGTGAGCAATTAATGAACAGACAAAATGGTGTACGTTAATTCTCAAATTATAGAGTGCACATTTTTGATCATAAGGAAATTATTTGCTTGGTAACATTAAAAAACTCAAACAGCTTATAATAATTTTAAAAAATGTAAATTTTGATTAATGTTTTTATTATTAAGAGGTGTAAATTATTGTGATTATTGCTTTCAATATTAGCTAATGATAAAATTAAGCAGGTTTATAAGTTTAATCCCATATGATCACAGTAATCCACGCAACAAGGAAAATATATTGATCATGTAGACATTTTATCAATATAACCGTTACTAAAGTAATCAACTGTCACAATATGTCCCCGGAAATATCACTCCAATTTTTTGTTTCATTGCATTTTTCCTAACAATGTTCTTTCAGCAATATTATAATTCAATTTTTTTAGAGCAATTAGGCTCTTGAATATTTAGTAAATTAATCCGTTTGGTTGAAAGTTTTCAATTTTTGATACAATTTGTTTTCTATGCAAATCTCTTTAACAATGGAGTCTTTTATTTGCTTCGGAAAAAATAAACTAAATCCCTGGACATTAAACCAAATTAATCTTATTAACTTTCTGCTATTTATTCAAAGCTCCATTTGAGCTGCAAATATTGCCCTTTCACTTAGTTTGCGAGAGGTTCCGCGTTCAAATCCAGGCCAAGCCCAAATATTTGCACTATTTATGGCCTGAATAGCCTGGTTGGCAGGTTGCGGGACTCAATATTGTGAGAACGAGAGTTCGATTCCAGAAGGCTGAAGACTCCCCGTGTAGTAAATCATGACTGGTGCACGTTAAATCTATTGGGTTTTAAAGTTCTCTATGTTGTCATAACAAGACAATACCTCAAAGGGAACTGAATCGGAAATTGATGGTTTTCTGGTTCAGGTCAAAATTAAGATCTGTGGACGAATTAATGAATGTATGAATGGGTCCGCCCTATAAACGGGTGTGACGTATGGGTATGCTAGAAGTCGAATTCTTGGTTATTGATGGTGCCACTGGAAAACAAGAGCAATCACACTCCCTCTGCCTTAATAACGACGACAACAACGTTAACAACAGGCATTGCAAAAAAGTCCTAGATATCAACTATATTACTTACGGATTACTCCATTTGAAAACAATCTCCAACTACTGACGCACAATGTAAAGCGTTTCGGATCAAATTGCGGAATGAAGCACCAGCATTTTGGGTGCATCATCCATAAAATATTCCATCGCAAAATATTATTCAATAATTTTTACAGTAATATTTAGATAATTAGAGTGATTCCCTGATTTTATAGCAATTCTAATAAAACACTACAGAACATCAGATTTTTTTGTTCCGTAACATGTTCAGGTAAAAGTGGATTTTACGGTAAAAAGTAACGAAAATTGATTGCCGGTACTAAATTTGATCCGGAGTTTTTTACTGTGTACATAGTATTATTATATAACACAATCGTTGATTTTGAGGCATAATTATATGACGAATTTGGTAAAACTATGAGGAATTTTTTAGGTTTCAAACTTTCTCTGAAAACCTTCGTACGAAATTTGCTTCCAATAAAATAAACTGAATTCTGTAACATATTCCCAACAATAAATTCAATACCTTCCAGGTTTTTATCCGAAGCCCCATTTAAGCTAAAAATATCGTCCACTAACAGGAGACGAAAGAAAAATCGAAGTCACATTGTTATTTTTGCGGATAAAATATTTCTTTATGAAACTTGAAAAAGCTTTATGGAAGCTTTTCTAAATCTCACCTTTTTTTTCATTCTGTTCCCTTAAAAGTGCCTTTTGAATAAGAAAATTTCAGTTCTTTTTTATCATGAAATATTAGCAAAATTTCAATCTCATTTTTAATAAAAGTAATATTCATAAAAATGAACTTTTATACTGTGAATTTAAACTTGAAAAATTAATTAGCGTGACCTGAATTTAATCAGAAAGTAATAAAAGAATTTCTTTTCAGGTTAGTTCATTAAGAAACGTGGGTAGTGCTTGTATTTAAAATTCTTAATTAAAAGGAGAGCTTGTATATATATTGTGACGAATTTGTGAAAGAATTTAAGCTAAAAATTGATAGGTATTTAAATAAGGAAATAGTAATTTCGTTCCTCTACGATATATATTTATACGATATATACTTATATGATATATACTTATATGATATATACTTATATGATATATACTTATAGGAAATATAATCATATGATATTCCTTACAAAAATATCTACATGAAAATAAGTTTATTTAATTATGAAAAACAAACTACATGTCATCTTTAAAATTGTTTTGTTTCTTGGCTACATGAATTTTGATTTTTTATGTAATAATTATACAAAATACAAATTAAAAACATATGTTAAATTCTTGATTTGATAAAAAGATGTACGCCTTTATCTGGTATGTAACTATTATATTTCAGAACTGGGGTTGAACATCTGACCCAATTCTGAGTTTACGCGACTACCAATGTTCAACTCCGCAGCCTTGTAATTTTGAACCCAATCCAGAAGACAAGGGAAATCTTGGATCGAGTATTGGGAGAAATTCGCCTTCGTAGAGAACTTTTACATAGAGCTAACCCGCATTTGGAATGATACTATTATTACTATTAAGATTATCAAAATATCATTGGGTCGAGATAGCCTGGTTGATAGAGCATCAGGCCCATGTCCCAGAGGTCGTGAGTTCAATCCC